ATCGGCAGAGCGCGAGTTTCCGCGGTCGGTCGATTTAGTCTGCCTACGACAACGATTCGAGCAAGTCGAAATTCATCGACTTTTCGCATTCGCACTTCGCATATTCTCGCTCGTGTCGCGTACGCAGTAGGCTTACTCGTCTCAAAATCGGTCCGAATTGTCTCGCATACAATTGCATCATATTATCGTGGCAATCATTTCTTTATGGTTAAATCGTTTAATCGTTTTGTTTGTTAGTGAAGATTGTTAAATTGTAAGTGGGGAGTTCGAGAGCCGTCGAGAGTTCACCGTTCCGCGAATGTCCTCTGCCTCGCGCCAAGCAACATCCGGCGTCCGCGTGCAAGATATCCGTTCTCACGAGAGCCTCTAGCAAGAAGCTCTTAAGCAAGATTTCCGACACGCGCCGAAGGCAGTCATTAACAGGACATTTTGAAGATATCCGTCGGATTCGCGGAATACGTGACGTCGCTCGCTATTATTCTAAATAAAACGAATAGTTAAAACAATCTGCACTCGAGTATTTTCTGAACATCTCCTTATCCTCCAGTGGATCTACGGATTCGCGTTACACACCGCTTCTCGCTCATCTCTGAGCGTTTCTCTAAGAGTCGGGCGATCTCGTCGAGGTCGACTCCCGAACATTAACACAAAATTATAATTATTATTAGGTGTACAAATAAGTTTCCGCCGTTTTTTATCAAAAAATGGGCATTTATTGTGAAATATTTATTAGGTTTTTAAAAATCTGTATTAATTTTCTTTAAAATATAACTTTATAATATTTTTTGCTACACTAATGTACTCTCCGGTCTCTGTACGCTCTACTCTGCGCATGCGCTAACAGACAAGGGCAGCCAGGTCACTTGATTTCATCTCTTTCTAATTGCCTGATACTCTTTTAGCTGACTCCCGCCCTCTATTATATCTTCTCTCTGGTACGCTATGCTACTCCCACTCCTTAAATAAAGGCGAACGCTCGGTCTAGATATACTATGTCTACTATGAGTAATATATAGAAGTCTTCTTCTTCTTCTTCTTCTAAAGCTGTTTGGGCATTAGGGAAGTCGCCCATACACCATTGTTTCTTATGAATTTTAAAAGATTATATATTTAAATTGAGACCCTTTACAAATGAGTGAAGCAGTTTGTATATCTTGAGATTGTTGGAAAAGGCAATACTGGGGATGTCGATTGTGATAAGTGGGTCTATTCTTTTGATATAGGAAATGAGTGCGGATGATTTGTCAGTATGGAAGAGGCATTGAAGAAAGATGTGATTGAGATTTCGACAGGCATGACCACAGGAGCATTCTGACGATGTTAGAATGTTTTTGTCCAATAGATGTTTACCTGTGGCTGTGTGATGTGATCTGATTCTAGAGATGAGAGTAATAACAGATCTAGGAAGTGAGCCATTGATATTTTTATACCAAGGTGTGGAAAGGATGGAGTCACCGTATTCGAGTTTGAGATTAAAGTATCTAGAGCCTTTAAACTGGCCTGAGGGTTTGAGTAGCTTTGTCTTTAGCAAGCTTTTTGACTTTAGAATAAATGTTGGAGTAATGGCATTTACTCATGAGAAGATGATTAGGAAGATGCAGAGACTCCTTAGCCAGGAGATCAGCCTGTTCGTTGCCATATATGCCCTTATGACTGGGTATCCAAAATAGTTTGACCATGATATTATTAGTTTGACAGTTATACAGAGAGTGTCTAATTTTTAGTATCCAGTTGTGAGTTTTACCTGACCAGGCAGAGTTATTCAGGCCAGAGAGTACACTGAGTGAGTCCGTAAATATAGCCGAATTATTGATTTTTCTTTCCAAAATTATGTCGAGGGTATGAGAAATAGCGAGCGTCTCCGCTTGAAAGATTGAACAGTTGTCATTAATCCTGCGCTTCATTTTTAAATTTAAGTCCGGTGAATAAATGGCGTATCTAGCTTTACTGGCCATGTTCAGCCTAGATCCATCCGTATAAAATTTAGTAGAAGAAGGAATGTTTGAGTTTGTGAACTGTATAAACTTATCTTGAATGTTCGGGCGGTTAATTAATCCAAAACCTATATCCACATCGATTTGAGGATTGGACTGGTGACTATGATATTTAAACTCCAAGTATCCAGGAAGTTTAAATGTTTCGATCTGATTGAAAAGGTGTTGATGTGTCATAAATGTGTTGATTAATGACTCGAAATTGTATTGATCATTTGCTGGATCTTGAGCGATTTGTTCTAAGGTATAATGCAATGGATGAGTAGTCCGAGCTTTGATTTTGCAAATAAGTTTTTCTGTGAGATATTGCCATCTCGATGCCAGAGGCTGTTCACCGTTAATATCCAATAGTACGTTGATCGGGGTTGTGCACATAATACCGGTAACAGTCCTAAGTGCGGCAAATTGCAGTCTGGAAGTTTTAAGGTAAAGTGCTTCATCTAGAGGGTGAAACACTTGGCAGCCCCAGTCAAGCAGAGGTCTGATGAAACCTTTATATATGGTAAGCAGTATGTTTGGGTGAGCTCCCCATTTGATGCCTGAGATAGCTTTAAGAATGTTAATCCTGGGTATAGTCCTGTTTTTAAGTTTATTGATATGAGCTCTCCATTTTAATTCCGAGTCCAGGTAAATCCCAAGGAAGCGAGGCGACCAGGAAATTAGAATGTTAGTGTTGTCTAATTTAAGGAAAAAGTTGTTCTTCCTTAGTAAAACACGTAAATTCCTTGGCTTCATAGAAGAGAAAGTGGTATATGTTGATTTCTCAGGGGCAATCTTTAGACCAAGACGTCCGAAAAACACCTTAAGCCTTTCCACGGTAATACCAAGTTGGCATTTTATTGAATCCAGGTTATCATCCATGTGATATATGGCAATATCATTAGCGTACATTAATATTTTCAAATGCTCTGGAAGGCAAGTATGAGCCAAGGCTACGTATATGTTAAACAGAATCGGGCTGAGAATGGAACCCTGTGGCAATCCTCGGTCGGTTCTTCTAGTCTGAAGAGGGATACCGGCTGCGTATCCAGTAAGGTATCGGTTGGTGGTGGTTTTCCTAATAAAGCCTATGATTTTTTTAGGAAGGCCAAATTTCTCAAGAAGTATTAATAATGCTTCTGGTAAAACATTGTCAAATGTACCGACCAGGTCCAGAAAGACAATCCCAGTGAATTTACGGTGTCTGTTGGCCAAATGGATATCAGTAATGAGCGTAGCCACATTATCCATATAGGATAGACCTCGGCGAAAGCCAAATTGATGTTGTGATAGAATCTTGTTGTTTTCTGCCCACCACTCAAGGTGGTTTTAAGATTAATTTTTCGAAGATTTTATGTAGATTATTTGCTAGTGATATAGGTCTTAATGCCTTTTTCCCACCAGGTTTAGGAATAAAGACCGTGAAATAGTTGTTCCATTGCGATGGATACGAATCTTTATTAAAAAAACAGTTAAAGATTTTAAGAATCAACTTGTGTAGATTCTCCGGCAATTTCTTGATGATTTTATTTGATATTAGATCCGGACCCGGAGCTGACTTGGTTTTTAATGAAGAGACCGCAGCGTTAAATTCATATGTAGAAAAGTTTTTCTGCCTGAAAGCAGCATCACAGCTAGCTGTAAACGGAAGGTCAAAAAGGGCCTGAATATCGTAGGTGGAAAGCGGCGGTACCGGTGTGTAGGGTGCCAGTTTATTAAAAGCCGAATGAAATTCCTCTTCATCAATTACTCGTTGACTGGGATTTCCAAATTTTTTGTTTGAGAAGGCACGAATATAAGACCAAATCCTTGGAATAGGTGTATTGACATCCAGAGAGGTACAAAATTTTCTAAAGGCAATCCTTTTCTTCCGTGAAAATTCCTTGGGAACAGTTTGACAGATGTCCAAGTATTTCTTGAGATTGTTTGAGGTAGGAGATTTCTTGAATTCTCTGAAGACTTGATTCTTTTGTCTAATTGTGTCGTAGCAATCGTTGTCCCATCATGGAGCCGGGGCTTTTTTCCGGGTTTTATTAGCTTGAGAGCGTTTAGCACCCGCCCTTTCCAGAGCAATATGTATATTGTGTATTAGATCTTCATATGTTGAGTTGAGATTGTTCATATTGATAATAGATGGAACGAATGAACAAATTTATTACATTCCTCTTGAAATGAAGTCCAATCAATTTTGGATATAATATATGAAGGTCTGCCGAAATCTGGAGTGTACGACATATCATTGATCTTAGTAACGATCGGAAAGTGATCGCTGCCGTAATTAGAATCAAGAATCTGCCAAGAGCACCTTGTAGCTACGGATGAGACTAGTGTAATGTCCAAAGAGGAGGCAGAGGACAAGTCAGCGGATGACCAGGTTAAGTTGCCATTGTTGATACAGATCAAGTCTGAATTAGAAATGACTGTTTCAAGTTTTCTACCTTCGGTGTCGGGGCCACGAATAAGGTTAAACCACAAAGTGCTCTTACCATTAACGTCCCCACAGACGATTATAGGATTCAGAGAATTGCAGAAATGAAGAATCTCTGACCACGCTTGATTATTTGTAAACAGATGTGAGCCTCCACGGGGAGGATTATACAAGGAACATATATAAAGATGCTTATTTGATTCTATCCAGACTTTGCCAATCAACAGTTCAATGTTGTTAGTTGAACATATATTTCCAATACGAGTATCTCTAATATATAAGAATCTTAGTTGCTTCCCAATCAGGATAGCCACTCCTCCTCCATGTCTATTACGATTGTTCGTAAATATGTCATAGTTAGAAATTGATGGTGAAAAAGCGTCTTCAAGTCTGGTTTCATATAGAGCAGCAATATCGATGCTATAAGTGTCCAGTAAATGGATCAAATCAGGCATTCTTCTCGTTAGAGATCGACAATTCCACTGTATAATATTTACATTAGAAAATGTCATAAAGATAGATCAGTATTAATGCTAATTTATGAACACAAAGCGTTGCTGAGCAGAGTATGGCCTATCTCGAGAAGCACCTCACGATGGATCATTTTAATTGAGGAGAATTTATTCTGACAGGATTCTATCCAAGTGTCAAGGAATTCAGGATGAGAATTTAATGGCATTTGTTTAGAGGATTGTATATCAAAAGAGAAAGGGGTAGAAATAGTGGTCGAAGAATGTTGGGGTGATAAAGAATTGGAGGATGAAAATGATGAAGCTTCAACTTTGTTTTTATTTTTATTTTTGTTTATATTGTTGTTATTATTAGGATTAGAGAAAGGTACGTGTTTGAGTTGTTTAAGGGTGGGGAAGGATTTGGGAGAGGGAATGGGAGAGTGGGAGGAAATTGGGGGAGAAGTGGTAGGCAAGGAGTGATGGTGATGATGAGACTGAGAAGGGGGGAGGGGAAGGAGAAGTGTTTTTTTTATTAGATGAATGAATGAATGATGGAGATATCTGCGGAGGTAGGGGAATTTTATTGTTATTATAATTGTAGTTATTTCTAGTGACTGCGGAGAAGGAAGGGTAGCGTGAAGAAGAATTAGTTGTATAATTAGTTGAAGGAGGATGATGAGTTTTGTTAGATGGGATGAATTCCGAAAAGGAAGGGAGGGGTACCCCGTGAGGAGGGCGGGTCCAACCATAATCCACGCCAGGGCCAGGATCCGGATCCATACCCTGCATGAGAGCGATGGCTTCTTTTTGAGTAATGTTATTATAAGCCATAAGTTTTTTGATCTCTCTTTGTTTGCAAAAGACAGGACATTTACTATCAGAAGCTTCGTGTTCAACATCATAAAGCTTATGTCTCTTGCAATTGATACAGCAAGGTGTGACCTCGTCACAAGTAGTTTCATTGTGTGAAGTACTAAGCCTACCACATCTTTGGCATATGGCATTTGTGTTAGGAGTGCGACAAATTTTAATGTTGTGTCCGTATCATTGACATCTGTGACAGCGCACAACTCTTTGTATGAATGGTTCCAGAGTAAACCTTTTACCCATGTATATAATACTAGGAGGAGGAGTAGCAGTTCTGAAACGAAAGATGTATGAATCAGTTTCCACATACTTTGTCTCAGTAATGTTATCCTTATTCTTAGAGCGAATAGCTCTTTTCAATCTAGTGACTTCAAAGGGAGAAATCCACATAACTTTCCACCCAGGAGGGGGACGAACGTTCGCCAGTATTTCCTCTGGTGAGTCGTCATCATCAATTCCTCTAACAACGAATTGTCTAATAACCTTAAAATTAGGTATGTAAGCTAACCATTTTTCACCAGGGAAAGTGAGGTTAGTTCTTTTATTGAAAGATTCTATAAATCGATTGGCAGTTGTTCCATCAGAAAAAAGGACAGAGAATTTATTGCTGCCGATAGTTTTAAGGTCAAAAGCATTTCTGAATATGTCAATAAACTTAGTAATGCGCTTACCGAAGGCGATGATACCGTAAATACCTGAAGGAGATTTTTTCCCCTTCCTGTTATCTTAGTCCAGATGATCATCCTTATTATTGATATCCATAGCGTCGGATGTTTTATCGGATATGCAATTACCAGAGTCGATCGAGTTATTATTTGAAACAGACTGTTCCCTGGCTGAGCTCTGCACCTCGGAAGGCAGGATGGACGGAGAGAGAGAAACGGCGATTTTCTCTATATAGACTATATAAGGCGGCTTAGAATCAAGCGTATATTCATTATTTATACGGGGATCCATCCTTTCAATGGAGAGCTTTTTTATCCCTTTTGGCAAGGACTCATGAGAAGAATCAGAAGACATCGGTCTTTTTGCCCGAATTATACTGCGAATTTGAGATTCTACTGATTCTGCGGGTTTGACTGGCTCTGAATTAGTAGATGAGTGATTATTGTCAGGAAGAGGGGAGTTGATAGGATCTTCAGGCTCGTATTCTATTTTGACAAACAAACAGTCAAATCTTGGTGTCACAAGGGTCCAAAAATGTAATATGTATAAAAGTTCTTCCCAGAGAAAGACTTTCGATGTAGCAATATGGCCGACCAAACGGTCGAGGCACAAAGGACACAATGAAAAGGTCGCTAAAAGCGGAAAGACTGATACTTTCCCGGTCAACACTTATGATTTTGCACTTACTATAACTAAAAATGTAATTCACAACTCTATTCAAAGGTAATAATCTTTGAAATTCTCGGATTGTCGAATAAGTACGTATATCGCAGGATAGCTCGCGCACCGGAAGTGATATATAGAAGTCTGTGAGATGAACCACAGACTTTTATATATACTAGACCACTAACTCCTGCGATATATATGGCCCCGAAAAGTATATACACAACACATGCGCACACAGCACACACACACAAGAACACTTTTCGTCTGTACACATCGGCCATATTACATATCCATCTCCTATCCTCTTCTTTCCTACTGATTCCTACTTAGGTCACGCATGCGTAGATGTTTACTTTTCATACATAATACATACTTTTCGGAGTCAATTTTTCGGTCAGTATATAAGGGAGTTAGCGGTTTAGTATTATATAGAAATCTTTTATCTTAATTGGTTAGGTTTTCAATCTTTCAATCTTTCAATCTTTAATACGTAGTTTGATACGGGCTTTAGATGAACCGACGATTAAAATTAGCAAGGTGGCCAACAGAAAATAGAGGTTAAGGAAAACCAAGCATTTATGTCATTTCAGTTAACCACCCTGCTAATTTTAACCATCGGTTCATCTAAAGCCCGTATCAGACTACGTATTAAAGATTGAAAGACCAATTAAGATAAAAGGAACTAAAATTTCCTTGTCCTGATTGGTCAAATTTCAATCTCAATGCATATAACGTTTTCGAAAGTAGCAGGTTTAATCGCTCTCAGAGCGATTAATGACGTCATTGCATCGTCTCTGCCATAAAAAGGCTTGAATTCATAGTAAAATATAGTGATTAATTGAAACGAGTTGGGTTAATCCACTGATCTATATATCTGGATTGCTGATAGGCCTCCTGGCGATGTACCCAATTGAAGGTCCGCCATTTTACACGCCCGAGGTGCGCGCATGCGTGGTTGTGCTGTAAGTGATACCAATAAATGCAAATCATGGATATCGCTTAATAAACTTTTTAACAGTTTTTTAACTTTTAATTTTCTTTTTAACTTTGTAACAGCTGCACACGAAAAGGAAGGTCCAACTATGGTAACATTCTCTATATTTGCAAATATTTTATGTTGAGGCCGTTGTAATTATATTGCAAGGACGGATTGGAAAGAATTTTTCTATTTCAGTAACTTGCACAAACACGTGTTTTCTCAGGTTAGCAGAAATAAACGTTTTATCAACACAGCGTGTCTCTTGGTCGGTGGTCCGCGCAGAAGAGAGCGGGTATTTGTTGCCACGCAGGGCATTAGCTCAACGCTCCAGTGGAGAGAGGAGACACGCTTACCACCTTTTCGAAACGGTTGATTGCGTCTTGGTGCGTGCGCACTAACGGCTATCAAGCATGAGAACTAGCCTTAACATTTAATTTATAAGACCCACAAAAAATAATTAAGAAATAGTAAATATTAAAAAATAATCAAAAATTCCTCGAATCATGACAAGTTGATTGTATTATCGCAATTAAACGAATGATAGAAACCTTTATTGAATGAATAAAGAATTATTGTCTTATTAAACATAAAATCTTGTAATATTTTGGTCTATTTTATGATCTTGGGGACGCTTTTGAGTCCTAAGAACAAAGGTGATCGGCAATCCAGATATATAGATCAGTGGGTTAACCTGTTCATTCGAAAACGCTAATAGTTTGATACGGGCTTAACCGGACTTGGTGAATTTGGCCCTAAGTCATATATTGATAAAACGGGCAACGGGTGCGTTCAGGGTGTCGATCATGTAACTTTTCCTCTAGGGCGGAAACATGAAAAGTGAACAATTTTGCCATTAATTTTAATGGTAATATTTTTTACTTTTCACGTTTCTGCCCTAGAGAAAAAGTTACATGATCGATACTACAGGGTTACCGGGTGGTACCGAGGTCCTGCGCATTACTACACTCTTCCCGGATACACGTGGGACGCCATGTTAAAACATACGAATATTACGTTCGAATTGCTTACGGACATCGACATAGTTATGTTTATCGAACGTGGTATTCGTAGTGGCCTGAGCCAATGTTCCGGCGGATACGCGCGAGCCAATAATAAGTACACGCCGTCTTACGATCCATCGAAACCATTATCGTACATGATGTATTTCGATGTAAACAACTTGTACGTTTGGGCGATGTATCAACCGTTGCCCTACGGCGAATTTCGATTGGTCGACAACATCTCTGACTTTAAAGTTAGCGTGATCTTTTTGGATTCGCCCACAGGTTATATTCTCGAGGTCGATCTGGAATATCCGCAACATCTTCACGACGCGCATGTCGACCTACCGTTCTGTCTGACGCGCGATAAGCCGCCCGGTAAGCGGGAAGACAAGCTCCTCGCGACTCTGTGCGATAAGAAGCGTTACGTGATACACTATCGCAACCTGTAGCAGTGCACGCATCACGGCCTTCGCGTCACAAAGATACATCGCGTATTGTAATTCGCTCAATCCGCAATTACATCGAACTCAACACCCGGTTTAGAATGCGCGCGAAAAACAATTTCGAGAAAAATTTGTACAAATTGATGAACAACGCGGTATTCGGTAAAACTATGGAAAACGTGCGCAACCACGTCGATGTAAAATTATTGACAAAGTTGGACGGACGATACGGCGCGGAAGCGATGATCGCGAAACCAAATTTTCACAGCAAGAGCGTCTTTTCGGAAAATCTGGTCGCCGTTGAACTGCGCAAACTGGTGAAATTCGATAAATCGATTTACGTCGGTATGTGTATACTCGATATATGGAAAGTGTGTTTATACAAATTTCGCCACGAGTACATGTTACCGTTATATCGCGAAAATTGTAAAATAATGTACACCGATACAGACGGTTTGATTTATCACATCGAGTGCGAGGATGTGTACGAGAACATGAAACGCGATATCGTGAGATTCGACACAAGCGATTATCCGACTAACAACGCGTACGGTATACTGTTCGAGAACAAGAAGGTGCAGGGCTTGATGAAGGACGAGAATAACGGTGCCATCATGACCGAATTCGTCGGACTCAGAGCGAAGATGTACACGTTGAGGGTAGATGGTAGAGAGGACGCTAAAAGAGCAAAAGGCGTCAAGCGTAACATCGTAGCGCGTACCATAACGTTCGACGATTACACGCGATGTCTGCGCGATGAAATTGAAATGATTCGACAGCAGTCATGCATAAGATCAAAATTGCACGAAGTGTACACTATCCGCGAGACAAAAATTGCCCTGAGTCCCTACGACGACAAGCGGTACGTCGTACCCGAAACCACCGACACGCTACCGTGGGGATATTACCGGATACCCTTATAATGTGATGTATGTATGTATATATTGTAACCGTTATGTCTCGATAACAATGACGATGACCTTTACGTTGAAATGCCGAAGATACAACACGAACAACTCGCGGAAACTAATAGCGGGTTCAAAGACACCCGATAGAGTTCTCGCACGAATTTTTAGGATTTCGCTTTCTCCTGACTCCAATTATCAGATTGCGCGCACGCAGATCTTGCTCGATTTCTGCCGACAATCTGATGTCAAGTCATGTTAGCAGATCCTGCTCGATTTCTGCTACCAATCTGCCGTCAGATTGCGGGCGCGCAGATCCTGCTTGATTTCTGCTATCAATTTGACATCAAATTGCGTTGTGCAGATCCTGCTCGGTTTTTGCTGGCTATCTGCTATAATAATTCTATGCAAATCCTGCTCGGTTTCTGCTACTGATCTGCTGTCAAATTATGTCAGCACGTTTTGTAACATTTCTGCTGACATTCTGCTATTATTATTTGATATAACAGACTTTGTATACAATCTGGAATCTTTCTGCTGACAAAAATTTGTAGCAGACGTTTGGCAAAATCTGTTCGAACAGACTTGGCTATCTGGATAACAACGGGGTCACAAACACCCGATAGATACTCTGCCCGATATCGGAGAATTACGCTTTCTCCTCACTCTAATTACGCTTAGCGTGTACAAGATTATTGCTAACAATACTCAAAAAGAATACGAAAACTATCGGTGACGACTGTGGTGTACGAGTCGTACGACGCAATACTTTGCTCGATCCGGAATATCGATCGCGCGAGCGTGAAAATCCCGATACTTTACAACACGTATTAATTACAAACGCGAGACTAACATTAATGACTGTCGGCGGCGGCGAAATGAATAGAGGGAGCCTATTATACACTCCCTCGCTTCGTGCGGGTGGAGTGGCCGCCCCTTTGGCCGGATTATTCCGGCCCTCCGCGCTCCTTTCCTGCCATAAGAAATATAAATTTATCGGCAGCGATGTTTGTCAGACATATAAAATATTTTTAATATTAGACAACTACGACCTGGCGTCTACTGTTTCCTGGGTGTCCTGGACTCCCGCTCTCGGCCGTCACTCTTCTCTCTTCCTCTCCTTCCGCCGGATGGGATCCCGCCGCTCGATCTCGTGCTGACAACCAACTCGCGGGCTCATCTCGAGCTTACATTTCCGATAACTATTACTACCAAAAGTCAGATCTCGTCGATCTGACGATTGGGCCGCTCTCTCCCTAAATAGAGAGGACGCAGGCCCCCGAAAAACCGCCCCCGATAGGGTCATTCGACCCTTGTGACGGACGTCCCAAAAACGTCACGTAACAATATGTATGTATGTATGTATGTATGTATGTATGGTAATGTAATGTAATGTAATGTAATGTAATGTAATGTAATGTAATGTAATGTAATGTAATGTAATGTAATGTAATGTAATGTAATGTAATGTAATGTAATGTAATGTAATGTAATGTAATGTAATGTAATGTAATGTAATGTAATGTAATGTAATGTAATGTAATGTAATGTAATGTAATGTAATGTAATGTAATGTAATGTAATGTAATGTAATGTAATGTAATGTAATGTAATGTAATGTAATGTAATGTAATGTAATGTAATGTAATGTAATGTAATGTAATGTAATGTAATGTAATGTAATGTAATGTAATGTAATGTAATGTAATGTAATGTAATGTAATGTAATGTATGTATGTATGTATATATGTATATACATATATGTATGTATGTATGTATATGTATATATGTGTATGTATGTATGAGGAAAACAAAAGAAATATATTTCTATCTTTCTTTTTATATTTCATATTTTATATTTTATATGCTGTATACATCTTACACATATTATATTTTTATATTTTTTTACATATTTCAGATACTTATATATGTATTTCATATTTTTTCATATGTTAAAAATAAAATACAGTTTGTACGAATTAAACCACATTGTCCTTGTGTATCCAAGAGTTGTGCGATCCATCGAATCCCAACCATTTCACGTAAACCTCGTCACCCTTTCTGCGCAGAACTTTCTCAACGAGATACACGTCCGGGTAAGTCGCGCGACGCAACTCGTACTCGTAGAACGCCCCAGCGACAGATTTTTTGCGATAGTCCTCGAGTAAATAGGTTACGGGATTAGTACGCTGCACTTTAACGATCTTAAACACCTCGGTGGTCCAATTTGGCGTGTAACCCTTCTCGAAGATCGTCTTGTACTTGCTAACGCGTACCGAGTCACCTATTTTGAACTTTGCCGGACCCGCGATTTTTATCACGCTGTACACCGTAGCCAAGAGTCTTTCGGCGATCGCGGGGGTAACGTCGACGGGTCGCATACCGATCGTTCGATGCTTGCGCGTGTTGTAATCCGACACGAGTCGCGGCAACGCGTCGACCCACTTGTAAGTTCCGTTGAGCGTAAACATCTTCCACATGTCGTTCTTTAACGTGCGATTGAATCGTTCGACGACCGATGCCTTCAACACCGAATACGTGGAATAATGATTGATGCCGTGTTTCTTCACGAGACGTTGCACGTCGGCGTTGTAAAATTCCTTCCCCATATCGGTTTGCATATTTTTCGGGTGCCTCTCGCTATCTCGAATTATCTCTGCGATAACATCAGCCGTCTCGCTTCCGCCTTTACTCTTGAGCGGTACGGCCCACGCGTACTTGCTCAACACATCGATGACGGTGAGTATGTAGTGGTAACCTCTGTTGAAACGAGAGTACGGACGCATCTCGACGATGTCAGCTTGCCACAGATCGTCGTAACCCCGCACTACGACGCGTCTTCGGGGAAAATTTCTTCTCGCCGGAGCATGCAGTTCCTCAACGAGTCCTAGCTTCTCGATATTTTTACGTCCGTCGGATTTTAACGATGTCATGTTTTTAGCTGTGCGGCTGGTCGGCGCGTAATAATATGTGCAAAGAAATTACATCATAATTTATATCTCTAATTTTTTAACCATTCAATAACCGTTTATTCTCGTTCATCGTCTTTCAATAATGGTTCTTTGTCATCCGTCATTCGTCGCCGTTCGATAGCCGTTCGTAGCCGTTCGTAGCCGTTCCTGACCCGTTCGGTAGCCGTTCCTGATTTGTTCGCAACCGTTCCTGAGCCTTTAGATAACCGTCCGACAACCGTTCCTGAACCGTTCGGCCGTCCTTCAACCGTTCGTAGCCGTTCGTGAACCGTCCTTTGCTGTCCGTGAACCGTTTGTTGTCGTCCATTGTCGTTCGTTGGCGTTTCGTTAGCGTTCGTTGACGTTTCGTCGTCGTTTCGTTATAGTTCGTTGGCGTTTCGTTAACGTTTCGTCGTCGTTTCGTCGTCGTTAATCGGTTTTAATCGGTTTTAATCGGTTCAATCCGCGCCCGGATTAAAAAGTAATCGATTTTAATTCCGAACGAACTATAATCGGTTTTAATATCGTTTTCGCGGATTATTTCCAATCTGAAATCATTACATTCTAATCCATATTGTTGTCAATCCAAATAAACACGAATAATCGAATGGATATTGTGGCTGCCGTAGGTCGTCACATTAAGCACAATCCGCGATACAGTAGCGCGACCCGCAATTTGGCGGCCCACGTGCTCGCGCGTCCGCGCGTAGCTCCGAGCGGCGCCGCTACGCGGCGAAGGTCGAGCGAGCCAACCTGGAAGTAGAAAGCGGTCAAGCGGGGATATAAGGCGGACCCTCTGCGGAGAAATCGTATATTTGTTTTTAATAACTGAGTCCGTTGTTTTAATTGCAGAAACACCGATTCAATAATTGATTGTGACTCATGATAACAGCAAATCCAACTTCACACTACATAAAATCGATTTACTTTTCATCTACGAAATGATGGAATTTTTTATTAAAAGGGATTATTTTTATCTATGAATTGACTATGGTAAATTCCAATTCAATTGCATTAAAACAGGTTTAATTATAACTTATGAAATCGTATAATTTCGGATTGAGGTGGATATATATCACCCAACATTAACCCGCCTAAAGCGTACTAAATTCGATTTGACTATTTTCAATCAGTTTTAATACCGCATTTTCGGTGCAGAAATCCCGATCGATTTGGATTACATTTTTTAAAATCCGTTTTAATCGACCATTTTCGGCAGGGTTTATATGTATTTTATATTTTTTCATATGTTAAAAATAAAATACAGTTTGTACGAATTAAATCACATTGTCCTTGTGTATCCAAGAGTTGTGCGATCCATCGAATCCCAACCATTTCACGTAAACTCCGTCACCCTTCCTGCGCAGTACTTTTTCCACGAGATACACGTCCGGATAAGTCGCGCGACGCAACTTGTACTCTTAGAACGCTCCAGCGATGGATTTTCCGCGATAGTCCTCGAGTAGATAGGTTACGGGATTAGTACGCTGCACTTTAACGATCTTAAACACCTCGGTGGTCCAATTTGGCGTGTGCCCCTTCTCGAAGATTGTCTTGTAGTTGCTAACGCGTACCGGGTCACCTACTTTGAACTTTACCGTACCCGCGATCTTTATCGCGCTATACACCGTAGCCAAGAGTCTTTCGGCGATCGCGGAGGTAACGTCGACGGGTCGCATACCGATCGTTTGATGCTTGCGCGCGTTGTAATCCGACACGAGTCGCGGCAACGCGTCGACCCATTTTTAAGTTCCGTTAAGCGTAAACATCTTCGACATGTCGTTCTTTAACGTGCGATTGAATCGTTCGACGACCTTCAACACCGAATACGTGGAATAATGATTGATGTCGTGTTTCTTCACGAGACGTTGCACGTCGGCGTTGTAAAATTCCTTCCCCATATCGGTTTGCATGTTTCTCAGGCATCTCTCGCTATCTCGAATTATCTCGGCGATAACGTCATCCGTCTCGCTTCCGCCTTTACTCTTGAGCGGTACGGTCCACGCGTACTTGCTCAGCACATCGATGACGGTGAGTATGTAGTGGTAACCTTTGTTGAAACGTGAG